ACAAATGTAGTACCAGATGATCGAAATTCAATCTGACATTACGTAGCTTATTTTCCATGAAGAAAATGGGCTGGACACGCCATTACAGACCCTCGGGTTTACAGGTAGCTTTATAGATTCGTTCCTGGGGTATCGTCCGTTTCCTTTCAATCTATTCCCAACGCCTCGGATTTTCCAAGTACTTTTCATGTGATGATTGATCGTTCACTCTTTTTGACCCCATAAACCATGAGCTTTTCATTTTCCCCCTCTCAATGAACCGTTATCAGGTTTAATAAGGACCTAGAAGTTGATGTCTTCCTTGCGGTAGTGGTCTGACACGATCCGGTACAGATATGATGGCGCATGGCCGCCGCTATTGCAGGAAACGTCAAAGTCAGTTGTGCTGCTGCTTCTTCTTGTAGCAAATCCAAGGAAGTGACTTACAGGTTGGTAATGTAAAGATCAACCAATTCTGGAGGAACATAGTCGTACAGAGGGTTCTGCACATCGACTTGATCCATCAAATCGCCATCCTCATATGGGATGACCTTGCTGGCATCTCCATATTCGATCAAAGACTCAAAGTCAAATGGATACACCGGGCTGAGTTTGTATACACCGCTGACGACAACAACGGGAGTCTGGTGCACCTTAGCAGCACGAGCAATGACCCGGGTGCCGGCTGCGGCCACCAGCCCGCCGTTGGCAAGGACAGAGTGCGTGCCCAGAATGACCTTGTTGACTCGGGACATGAGAGCAAAGACGGCCGAATCCGGGATTAGAATGACCGTAATACCCAGGGCGATCAACGGCTTCTGGAATGACTCGGTGCTGAGAATTTCTTCATCGGGGGAAGTGGCACCGCTAACGGTGGTGTGCGTCGCTTCGTGATTGTTGGGGTAGGATTCAGCGTGAATCACAGTAAACTTGCGCTTTGCGGCGGCCTTGAGAAGGAACTTCTGCACGGTTGTGGAGGAGGTATGGGTGAGGATTATTTCATTCGAGTGGATGTGGTCGAGAGCATAAGCTGCGATTTGGTCGTCCACCTGGCCCAGTTCGTCGATGATCTCTCCAATTCCGTCTAGAACTTCGGCACGAATATCCCTGCTCGGAATATGTCCCAGTAATCTACCGGACGGAGACGCCGATGCGGGAGTACCGGGGAGTGATGTCTCAGGCTCAGGGTGTGAGAGCAGATTGAACATTGAAATTGGGGTGGTGGCCAGCGAAGCGAAAGGCGGCCTTGAGGACGACCGGTCAGAGCCCTCATGGCGGAGGGACAATGGATCGGACGGGTCTATTGATCAGCATTAGAGACCGAACCGATGTGAACGAGTGAACGGCGAACGGTGCTTTACCGACCTTCTGGGACCCGAGGCGTCTGAGGCTGACTTTCGGATCCAGCATCACTGAGAGTGAAATCACCATCTCTATCGTCCTCAGCTTCGTCGCGAATGAGACCAAGTACACGTCGGACGATGTTTCCAACCACCATCTCCCTTGGCTGAGCGGCCACCAATCGCCTCCCCACACTCTGAACTCGTTCAATCAGCTTAGCTGCATCTGTCGTCCTGCAAGCTGAGATGACGCGGAGAAGAAGGTAAGCGGTCGCGGTAGCGCATGACCTGGAATGACGGATCTGTCTCCGCTTGAGAAGCCTGATATAACTGTTAGAACGATCGAACCTTGCGCGAAAGGTTGTATGACGCCAGAAACGCACGATATCAGGTTGTCAATGGATGTGTCGATTGGAGTGGTCTTGAGAGACTTGAGAAAAGACGCCAGACCAGGCGTCAAAGCCGCGGAGGTAGATGGCATGTTTATGTATGGAGTATCCGGTCGAGTCTCAGTCAAGACTGCTCAAAGAATGGGTACCTCGACAATATTTCCTGTGCCTTGATAGTTCCCTGGGCAAGTCGTTAGCAGATTGAGTCACAAGGGCCGCACACGGATATTCTTAGAGGGGCACTCGAAGCAACGCATGCAAAGAGCAAAGGAATATTAGAAAGGACACGGCGCTTACTAGTGACAAGACTTGTAATGAGCCTCTGAAACCTAGAAGCTCAACAAAGAGCTGAATAGCACCAAGAGTGGAACAAGGTGGGATGCGATAGGTAACCATCCGCCTATTATTGCGAGGGAGTTTTCCGCTCGGATCTGCCGCTCGGCCCAACCAAAGTGGTATTCCTACTATGAACTCCGAACTACGACTATCTCAGGTACTCCACATCCTCGCCGTCATCTGCTGCTGTTACATCGCCGTCTCTTATCCTAATCCTCTATTCATTTCTCCCTAATCCTTTCTGATACCCTTTCTCCGCTATATTTCGGTTTTCCTTGAACACACACTCTGCTAGTTGACCCTCCAATAGGTAGTTCCCTTTATCAACTGCTTCGGCTTCTCCTCTTACTATTCCCAACTCCCCATTGCTGAGATTGGAAAAGCGAAGTGGTCCCAAAGCACGGCTCGTCGCCTGGCGCATTGAGGTGAGTACAAGTCGTATTTAGCCTTGGGTGTCTCATGTCATCCTCTTGTTGCCATGTCGTGAAGCCATAAGGTGAAAGAAAGTGTATCAAATGGTCGCTGAGTTCGCCGTCGGTGTTTTGTAGATAACTGCGCCAGCCCCGACTCCCGTGGGCCGTGTTGGAAGATGAACTCGTTGAATATCCTATCTTCTCGAGTCATTGGCCAGTCATCCAATTCGAATCGTCTCCGACAGAGGTCACGCTCGCAAGGAGAGATCACTCCCGTGGTCCCACCGGAGGATCGATCCAAGCTTCGATCTTATAGTCACGACAATCTTCATTCGCCTGATGTATTGGAGAAAAGCCACGCCAATGCGCCCGAAGTTCCAGCCGACATAGACTACTCCGAACATACCTTGACTGAGAAAACTCCTTTGATACGAAGCATTCAGAGAGATGGGCCACTTGCTACGAGGAGCACCCTGGGACTGATTGCGGAGCGTTTCTTTGACGCCATTGCGGAAACGATCAAGTTTATCTTATCAACTCTGGCTGCCCCGGGCGTATTTATAGCGCAGTGCTTCCGAGACGATGACGGACATTACTCCCCAATGGCCCCGGTACGAAAGCTGCGGCAGTCAATGGCCGGCGGTTCCGCTTCCCGTAGGTCGAGCCCAGCGAAGAAGGATGTCAAACAGACCGGTACGAGACGACGTAGTGGATCCACAAGGAAGCTGAGAAGTCATGCATCGCGAGATTCGATCGCATCGAGCACGTCCGAGTCGGAAGTTGATCGTCGGAGCATCCAGGGCCTCATGGGTACCCGGGCTCGAGCCTCGAAATCGAAAACCACAGCCTTGGAGCCGACTGGAGAAGAGGGTACCCCTCGCCGCTCCATCCGCATCAAGCTACATAATGAAGATACGCTGAAGCGACAGAGGCAGCGCCGGACGCAGAGCGCAGATCTTGGTACTACGTCGGAAACCGGTGCGGCTGGAGGAGAAGGTGCTCTGAGTCCAGACACTCTCAAATCACCAACGTCACCTTCCGTTCATAAAGTCACCAAATATCCTCATTCTCCTGTACCTCCTCGGCCGCTGATTCCAGCTCGTCTCCCTTCGTACACTGCCGCTCCTCGAAACTCGCGCATCCCTCAAAAGACCCTGGTACTGGACCTAGATGAGACTCTTATTCACTCGTTAGCCAAAGGCGGTCGCATGTCCAGCGGCCACATGGTCGAAGTCAAGCTTGCTACTCCCATGACTACTGCGCTAACGCCAGGTGGACCACCGACTACATTGGGACCGCAGCATCCCATCCTCTACTACGTTCATAAACGGCCCAACTGCGACGACTTTTTACGAAAAGTATGCAAATGGTATAAGCTGGTTATTTTCACCGCCAGCGTTCAGGAATATGCGGACCCTGTCATCGACTGGCTCGAGCAGGAACGCAAGTACTTCCAGGCACGATATTACCGCCAGCATTGCACGTTCCGGAATGGCGCATATATCAAGGACCTCAGTTCTGTGGAGCCTGACCTGAGCAAAGTGATGATTCTGGACAATAGCCCTATGAGTTACCTTTTTCACGAAGGTGCGTCGGTTCAATCCGTATCCAACGTCTGTCTTTCGTTTGTTCATGTTCTGACTTGACCGGGTCTAGATAATGCCATACCGATTGAGGGCTGGATCAATGATCCGACAGATAACGGTTTGCTCAATCTCATCCCCATGCTTGAAGCTTTGCAGTATGTGACCGATGTGCGGGCATTTCTGGCACTGCGGAGAGGGGAAGGAGAAATATAAGCTGAAACAGCAATGAAGGAAAACGACACAAGAACAAAAGGAGCAAAAAGAAAAGTATAAAGGACTTTAAAGACTCTGGCAACTGATATACTGCATTCTTACTCATGTTTCTCATTCTTCCCGTAAAGCGAGCCGATTTATATCGATGCCCATGATGAATGCCTAGCATTATTCATACCCCCCCTGCCTGTGTTGTGTTGCTTTCTTATGATTAAATTACGTCCTTGTAATGGTTGATTTGTCCTGCGTTCTCTTTTTCTACTTGTCCTGTCTGCGGTTTCACTCCTTCGCTACTGTCCATGTCGTTCAGCGTTCCGATTCAACTCTCGATGACGAGGAATACCAATAGTGGTATTTTCGTTTTTAGTACGGGCAGCAGAAGAATTCAGTTGCTGGCTCTGCGCAAGAAGACCGGACTTGATCACTTGAGGAGCCCTCGTACATACTCGAGAGTACGAATGATACTTACTTACCATAAAGGAAAAGGAACTGTTTACTGCCTTGGGTAACCTCGATCATCTTCAGAATTCGCCCTGGGTAACAGTGATCAGGGTCGATGCATTGCGCTGGAGTACTAATGCAAGGTGAATTTGATTGAAGTCTAAATGTACCAAAAGTGTCTGCATTATCTTTCCCTTTGATTCGATGTATTGATGTGTAATCTATGGTATGCACATTTATTCATGCTAGAGAGACAAAAAGGAAACCATGAGATTTGAGCAGATGTACCCTCCTCTATACAGTTCACAAGCCCTTGGCCTGCTTAGCCTCTGTGAGGGCTTCCTTGAGCGCCGCGATGGCCTTGTCAATATCGTTGCGTGCGGGGTCTGTCACACTCACACCCATGTGTCCGAATCGGATGTACCGGGTGGCAATCTCCTTGTGCAGGCCGGCTGCGAAGATGACACCGCGCTTCAACAGACCCGGAAGCACATCTGGAGGAGTCAGGCCGTCGGGCAGGTAGATGGCCGTCATGGCGTGAGCCTGGCTCTCCGGCTGGGAGGCCAATTGGCGCAGACCGAGCTCGGCAACGGCAGCCTTGACGCGGTCCGAGGTCTGGGCGTGGATAGCAAAGCGCTCGGCCATGGGGCGTGCAGTGATCTGAGACAGAGAAGTGTGCAAAGCGTGGACGAGCTGAGTGGGGGGTGTGGCGAAGTAGGAGGGCTTGTTGTTCTCGTAGTTTTGCATGATTGGCATCCAGTTGGCGATCGAGGCAAAGTACGATGAGGGAGGGGTCTTGCGGGACCTGAACCGGTCGATGGCCCGGCCGGAGAGCATCAAGATACTGAGACCGGGAGGGCAGCCGATGGCCTTCTGACTGGCGGTCAGGACTACATCCAAGTCCCACTCATCAAAGGCAATATCCTCGCATCCGACACTGCAAACCCCGTCAACAACCACCAGGGTGTCGGGGCTGACCCGGCGGACAATCTCCGTGACGCGCTTGATGTCGCTCAGCACGCCGGTCGAGGTATCAACGTGGGTAATGGTGATTATCTTGTAGGGCTTTTCCTTCAATGCTTGCTCGATCTGCTCAAAGGACGGACGGTCGCCAATAGGTGCCTTGAGCTGTGTTGCTTGAGCGCCGTATGTCTCCAAGCAGGCAGCGAAGGAATCGGCAAAGTATCCGGTGTGCAGGACGAGCGCATTTTCATCCTTCTCGATCAAGTTCGAAGCCACAACATCCCAGCCGAGTGTGCCACTGCCGGAGATGACGAAGGGCTGTGCGGAGGGGTTGGTGGACTGGAAGAGTTTCCGAACCAGGGTCAGGGTCTCTCCAAAGACCTTGACGAAGGCGGGGCTGACATGGCTTTCACTGGAAGCAGAGAGAAGGAAGTTTTAGCAGAGGTTGACAGCCAGGATAGAAATCATGTTTCCCTTCAGTTGAGGCACACTCCCGGGTAACTCACGCATAGTGGGACATGGACTGAAGGACAGCATCATCGAACTCGATGGGTCCTGGAATCAACAGGGTGGAGTGAGGGGCTTGGGACGACATTCTGGCAGCCGAGGATGTGGATTGTTTCTGGGACGTGGAAGGGGGTAGAGAGGTGCGATCAAGAGGCTTATAATCAAGATCGTCTGGCAGGAGTGAATTTCTCTCGGTCGAGAAGGGAGTGTTAAGCTCAGGCAGCGGGAGACGCTGATCCAGATGTCTGGAGATCAGGCTCAAGCGCTGCGTCGTCTGCTTGGTCGCCAGCGTTCCGATGTCGTTCGGCTCTCAACGGGAGAGCCCGCGGGGTAAAGGAGATTGGTTATGGAGGGGCTTTCACAAGCTCAAGCTCAACGACAGCCTTGGAAGGGGTTTTGGGTTCGGGGATCGCCGGGTAGGAGAACTATCTTGGCAGGTATTAGAGAGGTGTCTATTATCTGATAGATATCTACCTAGTACGGTAGGTCGAATATGAGCACAATTGAAGGGATTGAATCGCAAGTATTATATAGGAATCTTATAAGGTCCCAATCCGGTAATTGTGTGCTCTTTTTTTCACCTTAGGATTTTTAAGTGTCATAAAGAAACCTTTTCTCCTTCTACTCCGTATCGGCCGTAAAATTAATAGGGCCTTTCGACTCATCGACCGGGCGGAGCCTTCCGTCCTGCGATTACCTCCGTGATCCGTCCTGGTACGAAGTAGATAGTCTAGTCTAGATGAAGCTATTTCGACTTATGTTCATAACATGGGAGTAGAGTCTTGATGATTGGAGCGTTCAGATCCGTTGACACCTGGGATGATATTCAACAGTTTAAGAGGTAAGTTGTGAGCTTTCATTGGCACTTCAAATGGGAGTTGTATTCAATTTTAGGCACTATTCAACATTCAATGCAAAGACCACTCTCAAGGTGAGAATCTGCGCATGTATTTCCTTCGTATAAGCACATTGAATATCTGTAAATGTACCTAAGCAGAAGAATGAAACCACGCGCGGCATCAGCGCCAGGCGTCAAGGCATAAGCTTTCCCCGCGAAAGTACCTGCCTTAGGCTTACATACGTATGTACCTTAACTTAGGTAGCCCGTCTAGATCTCCAGATCCAGATTATCACCACCATCATCGATAACATCCATCCAACTTCAGCCACTCTCTCGTCTTCTCGATCTCGAGTCCCCGACATTTCTCTCTTGCTTTGGAATGGGCCGTTGAACCCTTCGAAACCTCGCAATCCCTTCAATCCAGGATGACATCCCGCCTGGTCTTGGTCATTGGTGACCTGTTTATTCCTGATAGAGCTCCGGTAAGTGGCCCCATGCCCGTCCCGTCAATGATTAAATGAACATCGCGCTTACTTGCAGTCGCTACTGGTTAGGATCTCCCAGCCAAGGTACCCACTGTCGCTTTGACTCTACCTGATCGTTGTCTTGGTTGACACAATTGCAGTTCCGGAAGCTCTTAACACCGGGGAAGATCGGTCAGATCCTATGTCTAGGCAACCTTACCGATAGGGAAACCTTTGAGTTTCTGCGCCAGGTTGCCCCCGACTTACAATTGGTCAAAGGCGATTTCGATGTCGATTCTCCCAACCTGCCCCTCTCCAAGGTGGTGACTCACGGTAGCCTCCGCATTGGCTTTACTCATGGCCATACCATCATTCCGCCGGGCGATGCCGATGCCCTGCTCATCGCGGCCCGCCAAATGGACGTAGATATCTTGCTGTGGGGAGGCACACATCGTTTCGAAGCCTTTGAGATGGAAGGCAGGTTCTTTGTGAATCCTGGAAGTGCAACAGGTGCTATGAGCACGGGTTATTGGCCAGAAGGCGAAGAACCCGTACCCAGCTTCTGTTTGATGGATGTGAGTATCTCGACCTTGCAGATACATGCACGGCCCATGCCCCTACCCGACGATTACTGATGAGGAGCAGATCCAAGGAGACGTATTGGTGTTGTATGTTTACCAGCTGAAGACGGATGCCAACGGGGTCGAGACTGTTGCGGTGGAGAAGGTTTCATTCCGCAAGAACAATATCCCATCCTCATGAGTCGACGTTTCTCTTCTTAATGCGCTTGTATATATCCCATAGAAATCCCCGATCGCGACGCCCTTGTTCCACTTCACTGTCACCTCTCTAGCGCTCCATAATCTATTCTCGCATGCTGAAGCTAGCATGAAAATACCTCAGTCAATCACACTGACATATGCTCTTTATGACTCTACATTTGCTAGTATGATTTTGCCACTGTGGATCATTACAGTCCAGAGAGCTGTCCAATATTATGATCCTGGATCACTGGAGACATGCTATGCTTCACTACAGGTGATATTGCTGAAGTATGTTCAATACTTCCTTGAGACTTGGTACATTGATGGCGATGGACTCTCTGGTAGAATATGACATCTGCACTGTGCTTTTCTGACCCAGAGATCTCTTGGAATTGACCAGAGGCCAAAAAATGGAAGCTATATGATAGAAACCAGGTGCTCTCCTGCTGAACGAGATATGTAAGAATGTTCGTGACTTAGATAAGGAGGGACCACTGATTCTGATGGCTGCATATATCCCATAATGAAGATAGTTTCCATCAGCCTCTCTCCGAACTACATGTCCACAGATTTCTATCAGCGAGGATGGCTTCGTGAAGTTCAAGGATGTTCAGATGACAAAAGCCGCTAAGCCGGAAAGAGCAGCATCGCATTAACCTAGATGCCGATCAACGAGGACATCACATTCGTTGTCTACTGCTCTGTTGATTGACAGCCGTTATTACATTTCTATTGTTGTGCGAAGACACTTTCTTTAACGGGACCAGGCTTTTCTTGTGCTCCTGAGTTTTTTTGTTCATTATTTCTGGTCGGATACTGTCTTCATCCAAATTTCGTCTCGCGGGCACTAGGCCAGACAAGCGGAACATCGTCATTGCTATCGACTTTTCCTTTGCGCGTCGTCAGAAGCGAAGGAATCAGGTCACCGCTACAAATCGATCAATATGGCTACAGAAGAGCAGGAGATCAAGGATGAGCGTCTGGAGACTCACGAGGAAGGAGGGGACGATGAGGTAAGTCGAGCTACTGGAGCTGGAGCTGGAGCTGGAGCTTGACGCCGACATCCCACTTCTACACTACCTTTCAGGTGGTTCATGTTTCCGTGGCATTGTCGCAGATTTGTGATGCATCTTGTCTTTTCAAGTCATTCCGAGAAGCTAATTCGGCCGCTCCGAAATGTAGGAAGAGATTGCGGCAATGAAGAGACGGGTAGCCGAGATGGAATCCGAAGCAGCAAAGTTGCGGGAAATGCAAGCCACCCTTGATCAACAGTCCGAGAGTCTACGCGAGGACAAAGAGGAGATCGATGCCCGGAGTATTTTTGTTGGAAATGTCGACTACGGCGCTTCCCCCGAGGAAATCCAGGCGCATTTCCAGAGCTGCGGCTCCATCAATCGCGTCACCATCCTTCTGGATAAATTCACGGGCCAACCCAAGGGGTGCGTTGTGACGATCTCTCCAGGGAAAGGATGGTGAATATCTGCTTCGCTGTCTTCTCTCTTGGATACTGACCCCTAAAATATGTAACATGGCTGCTGACTGCTGTTCCTTCCTACAGATATGCCTATGTAGAATTCGCGGAGCCTAGTCTGGTCGCCCAGGCCCTTGTTCTGAACGAGAGTGTGTTCCGTGGCCGGAACTTGAAGGTCAGTGTCTACCTCCGTACATACGGTCTTTTATGTAATCCCCCTTGCGCGTTTGGCTAACGATCATGATTAGGTTGTCCCCAAACGTACCAATCTGCCTGGTATGAGCAGCCGGGGCCGTGGACGCGGTGGCTTCCGTGGCGGCCGTGGCTTCCACCGCGGCGGGTTCCCTCCTCGTGGAGGCTATCGTGGCGGCGGTCGCGGTCGCGGACGAGGCTATGCTCCTTACTAGATGCGAGCAGACTGCTCCATGCTGTATAAAGAAGACAAACGACATCTGTTGTTGGGACGAAGTCGCCGGTGTTCAAGACTACTGAACTGCGGGATGGGGAACGCATAAGAGGCCGCAATGGTACACTGGATTTTACATGGGGGACGGAACTTGCTCTCTGGTTTCATGGTAGGAATCTCTTGGAGTTAGGGATTGGGATGCACTGTACGATAACCATCATCATACCACCATCGATGGAGGGACCTGATGGGTGGATCACCAAGATGGCTTCAATTTCTTTCTCGTTATTCTGTGATATCATCATATCGGGTTATTGTCATGATCAGCCATTCGGGTTCTATTTCAATATTGGAGTAACCAACATATTTCCATTTCTGGGGTGTTGGCTCTTCCACCGAGATTGCTATGATTCTGCTGCACAATCATCTGTGCGAATAGGTACTGAGGGTACAGCTATTGGCAGATGTCTAGATTTGCGCTGGACAGTGAGTGCTGTCACTTGTCAATCGTGGATGGGCGATGTCTGTCGGAACGATCGGGCGAACCGCATGGGTAGAGATCATGGAGTCGAGTCGGTCGACTGCCCCACTGCTGAGCAAGATCGGTGTCATGTCAAGTCATACGTAAGGAAGTTCATGTCAGGTCTAGATGCGATACATAACAGGAATTCTCATGCCAGAGGTTGGATTATAGTTGATGTTTATAAATATGCAGTGAATGGGATCAACGCGGTGAAAACTCCATGGTCTTTTTTAGCTCTTTCTTCTGGAATACACGCAGGGGTTCTTCTGGCGTGATTCAATTATCGCGACTCACGGAATAAGTACCATAAGGTAGTATTATTGCTGTTAGTAGTCAGGAGATAGGTACTAATGTAAGTACATTTGAGGTTCGACATGAGTAGATAGCCGCCGTCTTTCGGGGAGGCGATCTTCGAAGGTTCGAATGACTTTAAATAGAACTCAGCTTGCTCGAGGACGAAGCAATGATCCCATTTGAAAAGTGAAATAGAATCAAGTCATCATCATGAAGAATTTTCCAGACTAATGCTTTTGGACGCTCCTCTTTCTTTGCCACAGTTTTGTTCGGAGTACATTATTGTCTACAGACCAAATCTACTATGTAAGGATAATGCTGCTAC